CAACTGATATTTTTTCTGTTAACCAAGCTCAGGCAAAATTTTATCAAAGTAAACCACAAGATGATTTACTCCTACAAAGTACATTTTGATATCTTTTTAATAAAAAGATGACTTGAATATTTCATTATAGTATTGCAATTGCAAATTTAGCTGTTATTGTGAGAACTGGAGCATGTAATTTCCAAATCAATCTTTGAGTTATGCATATTTTAAAACAAATTTGAATGAAAATGAATCATTCTTCCATCCAGAAATTGGAATGGGTTCAAACCTGAAGATATCTAGTTAATTAATAGTGATTCAAATTAATGTATTTTTTAAGAAAAAAAAAGGATAGAGTAAGAATGTTATTTCTTCCCAGCATATCTACTTTGCTTTTCCAGAAGTTTCTAGCCATAACCTKAGATACTGTAATCATAGTTTAAGTCAGAAGGCAGATAGCCTCTAACCCAGTTTTGAAGAACCATTTCTTTGGCATAGTATAGTTCTCATTTCCTTGTTAAGCAGACCTTTTAAAATAYAGTTTATGAATTGCAACTTCCTAATTGTCAGTTCAAATCACTCCTTAGCACTAAGCTGTCCTCTGCATTATTTGTTACTTCACTGATCTTACTGTTGTATCAAAGTCAAGCAGGGAATCTACATATCATTATCACTGACAGATTTATTTAATAATGTTAAACCAAAATTTGATCCAAGACCAGAGTAATAAGGGCCTGCTCACTGATATTTCTTCACAATAATTATTAATTCTTTATATTCATGAGTGAGACTGTTTTTAATACTTGCAATGAAAGCATTTCTTGGAGGTATTACATGGTACTTCATCTGTTGACCAGATAAAATATATTTATACCCAGATAAACCTAGATGAGTCAATTTAGTTCTCATTAGCAGTAGGAGTAAGTTTTCTGGTGCTTTTGATTCAGAATGCTGTGGGTGTGTGAAGGAATCTCTGCAGTGATGGCACACAGTTATGACTTCATACTATATCCCTTCAAACTATAACCAGAGTTAAAAGCAGAATTCCAAGGCACCTATAGAAAATCTCCCTTGAGGTCTAGAATAGTGTTGTTGTCTAGATAACCATCTACAATTTTCAACAAATTGGTGTGATGTATATTGTTGTGCAAATAATAGAAAATTGAAATTATTTTTAAAAATGTGCATGAGTGTGTGCGTCTGTGTTTCTGTGTGTAAGATTGTATTTCTCCTTTAGTGTCAAAGAAAGGACAATATCTAATCTGCAAACATGGAAATAATTCATTGGAAAGGAAACCGTCTACCAGTACAATCATTTCAAAGAAAATCCAATTTAAGTGATAATTTCAATTTATTTCAGGTTGATAACCATTAACTTTTGCTATGGCATTAACTTTAGTTCTTGACAAAACTGGGGCATGAAATTCATAAAAGGATCTGATCTAGGATCTTAACTAAGCCTCTGTAGGCTGATAGAACATGTCACAGCCCCTCTATAGTAATAAACAGAATTATAAACAGTTTTGCCTAGAAAGATTGCTGACATGTGCAAGAATTTTTTTTTTTTTAAAAAAACTTACTATATTTAATTCTTGGTTCCAATCAACTACTTCAGTTTTATCTACAGTCTTTTGATCATGAGTCTCAAAATATATTCCATAGAGGTTGCAGTATGAAGATCAAGGAATTAGATTCTCTCTAAATGGTTGCTTCTTCTGTCCACAGTCTTTTTAAAGTCAATATCCTTCAAAATTAAAGCTAATCTTTTTTTTTTTTTTATCTGCTTTAATAATGAAAAGAAACACAATCTATACACTTTACAAAAAACACATTACTAAACTTTATATTCTGTTTCATAGCTATATTTTGAATCATTGTCAAGTTATTTCTATTAGAAAAATTGTTTAGCACACAAAGTCAACATTTCCAAGTGATGCTTATTGCTGAAGTAACATTCATTCTATTCCGCAGGAGAGGATTTTCCAAAAGGAAAATTTTGAAGTGACTTATAGGTAAAGAAGATTAAAGAAACACTTAATGGCATCTTAGAGGAAAAGCCTACTTGACCTATGGCAACAAGGAATACTTAAAATATTTAGTATTCACAAACATTGTACTTACTGAGGAGGAAAAAAAAGTGATATTTCTTGGAGATATTATTTTGATTCATTGCAATGCTTCCTGAAGTATATGAAATGCCTTACAKCAGAGAAAGAATTTAAAGGACTCCATCTATGAGTGATAAATGAAAAATATAGAGCTCTCTGACCATACTACTCATTTTAAACTGCATGGAACAAACAAGATATCATTTAATTTATCTTGCCAGAAGTTGTAAGAACTTTAAGATGTTGCATATTTTCAGATGTGGTCTAGGAAATTTGCTCTTTTACTTTTTATTTATTTATTTTTTTTTCTGGGTAATTCATCTACTTCTTTCTTTCTATATATATTTTTTAACCAGTCCACTCTGTATATTTATTTCACCGAAAGTAAAAAAAAAACAACTGTGAAGTTTTCTAAAGAGCTTCACTCTCAGATACAATACTACCTTCTCACTTTTAAATATTCGAAAGAATGCTGTTTCCTGCTCAGTCTTTTAATAAAAGGAATTCTGAGTAACTAAAATACTGTAGCATAATACCTAGACATTTCACTGTATTTTTTAACTGCCTAATTAGTGTAGGCCTTTATTGTACATATTTTATAGATGGATGTGTTAGGGAACAAATAGACGAAGAGTTTGTTAAATGCTACATGAATAGTAAGAGCCAACCTGCTAGACTAGAGTTCTGATTTTCGATCATAATTTTGCACCATAAACTAAGGGAGGACAAGTTATGATTTATAGACAGACACAAATGATCAAAGCAGGCAGACTACTATGCTTCTTCCCAAGAGCTCCAGGAATGGGTTAAATATTGTAATTAAATTTGTAATCAAAGCTTGCAAAGCTTTTCCTTATGTATATATAGCAATTCATCAAAATAATGCCATACATCCAGAATGGCAGAATAGAGAACTTATTGGTTTAAGCATGGCAATAGATCATAAGCTGACTATTAGTTACCAGTGTAACTCTATGAGGAAAAAAAGTCAATGTGATTTTTGGCTTGCATAAATAGACAAAATTGCAAAGATACAAGCATATATATCTATCAGACATAAATTGAAAAGCTCTTTAAGCTCTTTATATTGCCCCCATGTAAGCATCTCTGGAATASTAAGTGCATTTCTGTGTATCACTATGTAAGAAAGATGGAAAATAAATTCAATCAAAAGTCAAAAAAATATTACAGGACTCTGAAAAAAAGATTGTAGGAGTTCAATCTTTTTCATCAAAAGAAAATAGCTGTAGGAGATAATTTAGTTTCAGACAGTGAGAAATTTTCCTGAAGAGTAAAATAATGGGTAGGACAGCTAAATGTGTGAAAATGAGCCTTAAAAAAAAAAAAAAAAAAAAAAAAAAAAAAAAAAAAAAAAAANCTGTTTGTTTCATTCATCAGCAGGTACTACACAGAATTTTCAGTCAGGCAGCAAAACATACTGAAACACTTTAGAAGACTTTGAAAGGGGCTCCTTATCTTTGACAAGTTTTGTCAAACTGAATACTGTGATGTATTTGAAATGAGAATTAATTCTGAGAAGCTGAGTTATGCAGAAGATCAAATTTGATGAATTCAAAAATCTCATTCAATCTTTCCGTATGTACTACTTTATACTTACAGTGATTAGCTACTGATGCGATGGCTTTGCACACAGGGAAAATATTTGGAAGGAATGTGAGGGAGGCAAGGATGGGCCTGAATTTTACTTCCACGATTGCCCATGCAATTAAGTTCTGTAGTGTTTGATATACTTTTGCATTACATAAGTAAGTAAAATTTTGTCTTAAAAAGAAGAYGCATGACTGGCATCTGTGGTATAATGAAGCTCTAGAATTGTACAAACTCATTATTAACATCCATAGTACCAAAATCAAAACAGAACTAATCCTTTATGGAAAAGCTGATTTTAAAGGCATTGATGACACAGCAACTGGAGTTAAAGAAAAAAGAAAAAAAAAAAAAAAAAGAGCATGTGACAACTAAAATATGTTAACTCATTTGTTTATACAATGCAAATATATTTAAAATATTTCAGTCATATGCATCAATAATTAATTCAATTTTAGAATGATCATTCCCAAGGTATTATTTCCAACCCCTCAAAAAAGAAGAACAATTAATTTCCAGAATATGTTTTATCATTCCTCTTATTTTGCCTTTACAGGTGGTTAACAGCTCTTGTATTTTGCTGTGCATAATATATCTGCATCATAGTGCAGAGATCTGTTCCTTAGTCGCGTTTTTCTGAATTCTGGCGATAGATTTCTAGCACAGACTTATGGTCAGTAAATATAAACTTAATGGATTTGATTTTAGAGATATAAATCGTAAGATATTATTTGTATAAATAAATAAAACCACTATTGTTATGATCTATGATACCTTTATTACATTGAAACTGCTTTACCTATTACTGTAAAATAGTCTCTGTATGAGATTCTGCAGATCAAGAACAGAGTATATGGTAAATTTTAAGCCAAATGATGTTATTTCCTACCTAAAATCAATACAGAGTTCTGAATAACACTCTGAAACACCACAACCTAAAAGAGTTTTGCTGGTTTGAGACAGTTACACATAGAAATACTGTTACGTATTATATATTATGCATTATGTATTATGATAGGGACAGCAATGATAGAGACAACATTATATTTTCAGACACCAAAAAATGACAATCCTTCATCTCTGACTCACCAACTCTGCTTTCCGAAGATCTTAGTTGCAGTGTTTTAATTCCCAAACTGCATCACCTACTTTCACCTGCCCTCATTATAATCCCCCATGCCATGATTCTGGCTTCACATTAGAAAGGTGGGAAAGGTGGGTGTTTTTTTTTTTTTTTTTTTTTGTTTGTTTTTTTATGGAGAGGAGAAGAATATAGAAAAAGCTGATATCTAAAACTTGCACCTTCTTCCTATAAAACAAGAAACAAGTTTTGCATCAAAGCTATTTCTATAAAGTTACCAATCATTTCTTGAGAAATATTCAACATATTACAGTCCTTTTTTAGACATGTTAGAAGTTTTATATCTCAGGCTCCTTTCTTTTTCTTTCCAAAGCACACATGAAWATTATCTCCAACAAAATAAGTTGAACTGTGAAAGCAAAAAGTTTGTAAATAAAAATTCACAACTTTTAAAAATATTTACAAAATAATTTACATTATTTAGCAGTACCTGCTGGTGTAAGTGAATGAATGAAGCTCAGTGTTCTGTGTTCTGTAGTCAAAGATAAATATTGTAATCCTGGCATCTGTGGTCAAAAAAGCAAAATTATTTCTTTATTATTTCTAAAGGCAATTTTAAGGACTTGGAATCAGTTACAAATCTGTCTGCTCAGCCTTAGGTCCATGTGAGAACTTTGACAGCTTCAGAGCTGGATGACTGAGTAAAAGAAGCCTCTTAATTTGAGTGGATGCATTATGTGTATGTACAAGTGTGTGCAGGTATATATGGATGGATGGATGGATGGATGGATGGATGGATGGATGGATGGATGGATGGATGGCAGACAAACAGATAGGTGATTCTATTTATGTTTGCACAAAATAACTTTTTTCTAAATTCTTTTTGACTGTGTTTTTATTTGCACTGTGTAGACATTTTTCATAAGATTGTGAGCTAACATTCCTCTAAAAACAGTAGCGATATCGAGAAGCTCCTTTACATGGAACAGGACAGTAAACTGTACCAAGATTTGTTCATAAAGTGGTCAAACACAAATACTTATACTTTTAAACCATTAACAAAGTTCCTATGTAGTTTTCATTTAGGTCAAAGAGACCTCCCAAATAATTTTTAAGCACAGTTCAGGTGCTAGCATGAGACAATGAGTTTTTCCACTCATAATCTTATCAGATATTTTCAATTAAGGTATGAGAGTGTCACTTATTGAAGCATCAAAATTACAACAAAACTTGCAGCTCAAAATTAAGCAACAAAATAAGCAAGTAGGAAAAAATACATATATGTAAGACTAAATCAAAATACATTCTGTGTCTTCTACATCCAGATCTCTTAGCTTCTGCCTTTTCTTTTATCCTACTGGAATGCATGATGATGTGTAGCCATCATGGATAATTTTTCCACAACCCAACTGTTGTGATACAGAAGTGTGAAAGAATTGCTTGCAAAGGGGGAACTTAGAGAAGAAAAAAAGAAGGCCTAGCAGAAGTTTTGGCATTACAGAGGCTTACTTGGGGKGATACACAGTTGCCACTTCCAGGGTGGTCTGTTATGCACACACTTATCTCCTCCACTTTTTTCCAGGCAGCACAATCTGCCCTCTTTGCACCTGCAAAAAGGAGTAACAAAGGGCGGAGTGAAGACATCACAGCCGAACTGTTGTACTCCCTGTCCTGTGCTGCTGATAAACCACACAGTAGCTGCCCAGGGGGAGATACATGATGAGATGTCCGGTGCTGAGCCAGTAAAGGTGGCAAATCACTCCTTTTACATGAACTTTGCTTGAACTTTGCTCATTATAAGCTCATTATAATGTCAAAACACACCTCCATCCCAAAAGTTACCCGCCTCCAAGGTACGACCACTCCTCCCTGAGCATGCACACCAGATTTTCGATTGGCTATACCTTTAAATGAAAGCAAGAAGTAGAGAATAAAGGAGGGAAGATTCCATTGTAACTTCTGAATCAGTGACAGGCTGAACCCCATCCCTTCTCCTTGGGTCGGGACATTGCCAGAGGAGACCCAAATTGGAGTGAAGATTCCATCATAACTTCTGGGATTGGTCATCGAACTGATTCCTCCTTCCTTCTCTTGGGTCAAAATGCTGTCTGAGGAGAATCCTGAAGACTGAGAGACATCTCCCATCTTTTTGTGGGGTTTGGCCTCTTTTCAGTGGTGGCAATAGATAGAACTAGAGGAAATCTCTAGTTCTAGAGATCTCGAAGGGAAGGGCTCTGGAGCGGACGCTCGTGCCGGAGCTCCTTGTCTAGAGACGAGCCACTGAGGCCCAAAGCCGCCGAGCGAGAGAACGCAGGTAGCGAGCAGCGCGAGGCAGCCCCGGCGCCGACCCCTGAGCGGTCAGCGCGGAGCCCCGTGCCCGAGGCGGCTCTGACTCAGCGGGGGCGGAGCCGGCAGCACAGGCGGGAGCTCAAAGGCCGCCCCCAGGGAGCGCGAGCGACCAGGAGCGCGGCGAACAGAGCGGGCAAACAGAGCGTGGCGCGGCAGTAGGGCGTGGCGCGGCAGTTTGCGCGGCAGTTCACGCAGGCAGGGCGAGCAGGACGGGCGAGCAGGGAGGTCCCTCCCCGGCGAGCAAAAGAATCCTGCCCACAGTCTCTTCCGTCAGCAGAAAGGCAGGGGAAACCATGGTGTCTGCTCGCCAGAAAACTCGCGCCAGGAAGACTGTGGCAACCCAGACTGAACTGCTACAGAAGCATGCAGCGGTCCAGGTCACTACCTGCGAGGAGTGCCTGAGCTTTTCTTTGGTGCCAGGGAGCGGGGAAAACACTGCCTGCCTCAGGTGTGAGCAGGTGGAGTCCCTGCTCAGCCTGGTGGTAGAGCTGAAGGAGGAAGTAGAAAGACTCAGGGCTATCAGGGATTGTGAGAGAGAAATAGACTGGTGGAGCTGCGTTCTGCAGTCCTCCCAGGGTATGCGCCCAGAAAACCTCCCAGTTCAACCTGAAAAAACAGCACCCTCTTGCTTCAAGGCAGAGGGAAGTGAATTAACAAAATCTAAGGATGAACAACAATGGAAAAGGGTCCCTGTTCGGGGGGGCAGGACAACCCTTCCCCGGCCCACCCCACCCTCAGCAGTGACCACGTCTAATAGATTTGAGGCCTTGGACCCTGGGGAGCAGTTAGATGAGGACGCCAACCAAGGCCCATCTAGGGGGCAGTCTGCAGAGAGASAGTCAGCTCCACGCCCGGAGGCTGCTCCCCCTAAGGAAAAAAGGAGCACTCGGAAGAAGCGGCGGGTGATTGTTATAGGTGACTCCCTGCTGCAGGGCACAGAGGCRCCCATCTGMAGACCCGACCCCTGATCTAGGGAAGTCTGCTGCTTACCAGGGGCTCGAATAAGGGACGTTACAAAGAGGCTCCCTCGGTTACTCCGAGGCACTGACTACTATCCC